TAAGTCAAGCCACGATCCGTCATATTTCTGAATCCAACGCTGCCGAGGTGTCTGGTAACCTGGCACGTATTCGACATTAAAGGTACGAGGATTCACTCTATAATAGGCTGGTTGATCATAGCTGCAACCGTAATTACGGTATCCAGAAGAGCTGGAAGCTGCTCCTTGATCTAGCCACTGCGTACCCGTCATACGGGATGGAGGTGCAGGAGGCTCAGGCACATTGATTGGTCGCTTTCTGGTGGTGTGCCTCTGTTCTGCCTGCTGCGATCTCTCTCTCCACGGCGGTGGAGTCTTAGGTGGACCTGGCGGATCTGGCGGAGTGCTTGGTTGTCGTGTTGAACCGGATGACCGTCCAGGCGGTGGAACCGGTGGTGCCTTAACAGGCGGACGAACACTTGATGAGGATCCTGAGGATTTTGGTGCTGATGATTGCTTTGAGAGACACCGGAGCTGCCTTGAAGCGAACTGGTTTAGGAGTTGCAGTTGGACCCTGTGGTGGAGTCACAGGTGCTCTTGCAGGCGCAGGAGGTGGCTTTGGTACATCTGCCTTTGGTCGATAGCTCCTGGTCCTGCTGACTGATCTTGATCTAGTCTGTCCAACGTTCCGGAATGAATCAGTCCGCAATGGCGGCACACTGTCTCTCCTTTCTTCTCGTTTTTCGAGATATCCTTGTGTTCGTTGCATCCATTTCTCACGTCTTTTATCTTCAGATTCTTTGGTTCGGATGCGCATATTTTTCAATGATTTTAATTGGGCAAATGTAAGGAGAGGTGAGTGCCATGCACAGTCCTTCTCTGCCAAACCAAGATCATAGGACAACAAATGTTTTAACTGTTCAACATCATTCAACATAACTTCGTTGGAAAAAGCTGATCCTGCAAAACCATCCGCAGAGGCGGAATCTTCTTTGGCACGTGCTTCTGTAACAGCGATCTGCTTACCGTAACAAAGAGAAATTAAAAGCATTGAATCACAATCAGCATCTTCTCCTTGCATGCTTCGCATGTAATCAGCGGCAGTGGTCGATGAAACTACGTTATACGTAATACGGTTAATCGGACTGCGGTGAAGGTTGATCTGCTGGAGAAAACGTTCAAGGATATCGATCATGATGCATGTCCGGTAATCGGAATGGTCATCAGACTTGAAACTTCGCTGTGCGAAAAGGTTGCCATCTCCAGACAAAAAGTCACACTGATGCTCAATACAACTGGCAATAAAGCTAAGCCACTTCTGGCATGTCTCTTGATAAGCGCCACTCCAGGCATATGACGAGATGTGAAAAACCGCAACGCGGCATTCGGCCAACATAAGACGTCGTACGTCGTGTGTGTCAGCACCAAGATTCACTTCGCAGACTTCCACGCCGGAAACGGCAAGATCATCGTCTCCGTCAATCTCGCAAATCGAGTGGTCTTGAAAATCTAACGTTGTTGCTAATGGGCGATCATGTTGATAAACTGCAGACTCGGCATTTTTCTCAATGTCCGGTTTCGGAACACGAGCACCAGAAGAAGGGTCAACAAATTCTCCTGAGGTATTCATGCCATGGCACAGGCGAAAAATGGCGCCCTGCAAAATCCAAAAAAGGCTGCTTTTATTACCTGTCTCAATCTGGTGGTGCGATAAAAGTTCAATAAACGAGCCTGCACTGTGTGAGCCACGGAGAAAAATTGCAAGTGACTGCGATTGAATTGCTGGGTGAACTACCATGCCGATCATTCCATATTCTTCGGCAATTTCACGATGAATGGCAATTCCTCCGTATTCGTCAGAAGCTTCACATAAGCACACAATATGGGCCGCATTGCGGAACACTAAATGTGGCAAGGCACGATGATTAATATCAGTTCTAACCCATTTTGGAAATTTTGAGCAACCTCCGATATACGGAATACGGTTGATGTGACCAAGGTTCAAAGTCAAAATGCCAAGCTAATATGTGTCCTTCTGGAAATCATGAATATTTTCCTTATAGTGCGCTTGGCAACACCGAGGACTGCTCTTTTACCGAGAAGGCACGATCTGAAGAGTTCCAATAAACGGAGAATCTCAAATTCCTTAAGGTCACCGCCGTCAGGGTACTTAAAATAAGCCTCAGGTCTCCAAATCGGAAGAGGCGTCTGATCCTGGGCGTCAATGTAGTGCTCCTGGAGAGTGGGACTTCGAAAACCAGCTGGCATTGAATAAATATAACCAGTGTAATCGAATTGCTCGATACCATGCCTTGCAAAACTCTGCAGGTAGGTATTGCCCATGGATCGGCCTTCACGCAAATGCGTGATAAGGTCCTGATATTTATCCTGACGGTTTTGAGCATGTTCGCTACGAGTGGCTCCGAAATACGAAGATTCAGCAAGAACAGCGTCAACCAGTTCTCCGACATCGAAAGGCGACTTGGATGAGCCGATGCTATCTGGCAAAAATTCAGCGGACAACTCAGAAGAATAATTAACAATACTGTGGTTGCAAGCTAAGCCGTTAGTGCGGCATTCCAAGCAATAGGCAAAGCCACAAGGGTGGCACCAGAACATGGCCTCTGCACAGTTACATTCAGCAAAATTCTTACAGCATTGTGGACCCGCAGGGCGAGGAAACCATTGAATTTCGTCTGTATCCTTTTTAAATTTTGTGAAAAACTTTTGTGCTGCGTCCGCATCGCGGAACAATTCTTTTGCCTGGGTGTTCATCTCACGGCGGGCCATTGTCTTAACAACTTGCCTACGGCCACCATAAGGAGATCTCGGTTGCGTATCAATTCCTGTGGCGGTGTCATAGGTGCCGGGTGCTTGATCAGAACTAGCCGCAGAGGCGGCATCTTTCTGTTTCTTTGGCATAGGTTTGGATTTAATCTGTCTTTTTGGTGCTTCGCTCTCTGAAGCAGAGGATGCCTCATTGTTCTTCGCTTTATTGGGGTGCTTTTTGAATCTCTTGGAGATTTCATCTCTGAGAGCGTTCACCTTCTTATCTTCCTCTGTCTCAGATGGACCTCTTTCCTGGTCATTGCAAGGCCTGGCAGGGCCAGGTGCAGTTGATCGAAAGCTTTCAAGAAACTTTGTCACACTTGGGATCTGCATGATCTGTTCTCCTACATAATCCACATATTCGGAACGTGTCCAGGAGATACCGTCTTGATCATTTTGATTCCTTTTCTCCCAATAAAGTTGTTGGTGACAGACATGCATTGCAAGGTCCACATCTGAGGTGTAATCATTCATTCGCTTCAGCTCGGCCGGTTCCGGTGCATTAAGCCAGGCACGGTCAATAAAGGACCAAACACCGCAGAACCGGTTAAACGGTACAGTCTGATCGGTGAGGACATAGCGATTATCAGTTATCTTTGGACTTAGGCCGGCAACGGCACCAGGACGTCCAATTAAAATGCAATCTGATTCATTACGCAAAACATCCTTGAGAGTACTGAGTGTTGAATCAAGAACAAAGTGCACGTGGTTTCTGCCACCACGGGTGCCTCCTGGAAGTAAACCAAGTCTTCGGATAGAGTCAAGATTCTTCTCATTTGTTCCATGGATAAGGTACCTCAAAGGAAACATATCAGGCATAAATGGACAATGCTGAATTTCAACATCAGTGGAATGGCCACTCTCAAAACGAATAAAAATGCTGGCAATATCAACACCCTCAAGAATATTAGCCTGAGCTTGGCGTGCAGTTTCATTGTCGAAATCTGCAGCCTTAAACCAGCTATCCGAACTCGGAGTAACACCAGGTTGATAATCTTCAACACTGACATAGCCGATCATGGCCCTGGCTTTATTTGAGTCGCAGATTACATGGGCCAAAGGCATCAGGAACCTGAAGGTGTTTTCTCTGCCCTTAAGGCGCATAATCATTTCATTTTCATCAAAATGTTGAAGGGATTTCTTGCCTTCGCGAAACAATGTTCGTATCTTCCTGGCAGTGCCTGGATGGGAAATAAGCTCATGCAGGGACAATGATCCGTCACGATGCATCAGATTCGTATGTCGAAATATGTATGACAGGTGACGGGATGTTGTCTCAAAATAGCTATCCGCTAATGCGGAATCGTGGTCCTCCTTGGTCTTGATTCCAGATTGTTTCCTGAGAACCTGTGCTATGCACTGAGCAAAAACCATACTATGAAGAAATTTGTTAAAATTGATGCCGCAACTTTTTTGATGCTGAGCCCCCCCCCCAGACCTGCCCGCCCAAAAGCCCCCCATGTCCCCTTGGACATGTATGATGACACAGGCACGGCACGTCTTTCATGCAAATTCCATGACATGTCATACATGGACATGATGCCACGGTCATGGCAAGACATCCCGTGTTCAGACATGACATGTCATACATGGACATGCCATGGTCATGGCACATCATGCCATGTTCCCATCTGTGGCCATGACATGACAAGCTCCACATGAAGCAGGTCATGCTCCCAACTCATTTTCAACCATTCATTTCTTGAAGATTGGTTTCAAAACTCCTTTCGGTTTCGAAGTACTGGCCGCCTCTCTATCCTTGCGGTGAAAATGTGAAACGGTGGAATCTACAATGGCATTGAACATTGCCACATTTTTGGGTTCTTCTCCCTTCAACAACTCTTTTTTGACAGCTTCCCTCACATCTTGGAGCGATAAAGCTTTGGGGTCCGATTCCTCCATCAAGTTTTTTACAAATTTCTTGGCTTCTTTCTTGAAGTCTCGCTGATCAGGGGACTCATCTTTCTTCTTTGGCATTCCTGCGTGGGGTCGGACAGTGGGCTAGTGTTAATGTTGCATGAATTTGGGACACCCATGACAGGCATGCAAGTCCATGGTGGTAAACGAGACCATGACTCAAACATGACACACATGGGAAACATGGCCAACAAACATGAATACCCACGGTCCCTAACATGGCAAGCATGGTCAAACTCCATGGATGACAAACATGAAACTCCATGTGTGGCAAGCATGGGCTGGCCAATTGGGCTGGCCAATTGGGCTGGCCAATTTTTTCCAATTGGCCAGCATCATCCCGTCGTCCGCATGAGCCTGTGAGCACGGTACAAGGCTCCCCGCTGTGTGCTGGACATTTTCAATCCAGTCAGGTCTATATCCAGCTCTCCCTGGACTTTATCCAGGATGGAGAATGGAATTTGGTCCCCCGAGTCCAAGGTGAACCCCCAAATCCTGATTCGTGCAGGACTCACCACCGATGGCGGCAAGGGCTCGAGTTCGCCAACAGGAATGTCAGTTGTGGGCTGCCATCCACCAAACAAATCCAGGATCGCCTTCTTTCTACCAGCTTTGAGGTTGGCTTCTTTTGATTTTCCCGGGTGCCACCACTGAACTATTCCCGAGTCACCATCGACATCCACCACCTGGCCCATGACAAAGGGGAGCGCCTTCGAGTCATTCAAGATGATGACGAAATCACCAACACAACACGAAGCATCCATGGCTGGGTCAGAATCTCCCACGGTGCCGAGCTGCACCAAACTCTCCAGAGGCATCCCAGGCATGTCCGCTCCTTCAAAGGGATGGGAAAGCAAGATGACCAACAAACATGAAACCCTTCTATACCGATACACATGTACTTGGAACAAACACGGCGGCAAACAAAACTATACTCCATGGCATGCATTGGCAGTGGCATGACAAACATGCAACATGTGGCATAAAACATTAATACCAGAAGTTTCTGGAACAGACATAGCAATCAATGGCATGCACTGGCCAACCCATACCCCATCATAATCACCCCATACCCAGTTTGTGAAACAGACATGGCAGACATGGCAACTCCATGTGTGGCACACAAGGTCCTGGACAGTTGAGAAGGAGCATGTCATCAGGGACAATCGCGGAAGACTCCAAGCGACATCCACGCGGTGCTCCGCCATGCATGATGTCACCCAACATCCTGTCAACTGGCATTGTGAAGTCAGTGTCAAACTGGGTCACCTGCTTCAGCCAAGCCATGCCAGCTCGCACATGATCATCCAAAAGGTTCATCGAGCCCAGCTGGATTTCAAGTTTAGACCAAAAGTCACTGAACTTTGCCTTCACTTCATCCGTGAACTTGTGCTTCACATGGGGCGGCCTGGCTTGTGCCACCGTCGCAATGTTCTCCGGCGCCACCACCAGTCGGGGACGGCTCCACAGTTCATCACTGATATATTGCTTCCAGCGCACAAAGACCCCGTGGTGCGGAAAATTTCCAGATCGTGAACATTTCTCAGGTGGTGAATGTCCAATCCCAGCAAAGTTTTCAGGGCTTCAAAGTCCAGGGAGGCGTGCAGGTGGTCCCACTCCATTTTGTAGGACTTAAGGGTGGACACAATGATTTGTTTCATGTCATCTTCGCTGATGTAACTCTTTCCCATCAGCGACGCCTTGATGCGACTGAAGACCCTGTCACAGTGGCTGTGTGTGTGCCCAACAAGCTTGTACACGGTGCGGATCCTCCAAAACCGTGTCTGGTGTAGGGCACACAACAGCCATACACAGGCAGAGTAGACAATGCTGTTTTTAGTTTCCTGCAGCCGTGGTTGAAGGAAGAGGCATAATAGTGTCAACCAAAAGCGGTGGGAGTCAAAACAAGACAGAACCATTGTTCCAAGCAAGCTGGGAGAAAACTTTAGATCCCCAACTAGTCCTTGGGGGTGTTATCGGCACTGATTGTCAAAGCTTCCGGCACCACGCCGGTGTCCATGACTTTCCGGTGGAAAGCCTGGAACAAGAGACTTCCCTGCATGTTGGCCCCGTGCTTGGAATCTCCCTCATACAGTGAGGTGAGGCCAACTGTGTCGTCCGGAGTTCCTGACCAAATGGTCGCGACCAGCCCGATGACGAGCACGAACCCGGTCTTCATCAGCGGGGTTGAACGCCTGGGATGGCCAATGCACATGTTCCATGGCAACATGCACTTGCTCCATGACAACATGCATGCACTTGCTCCATGACAACATGCATGCACATGTCCCATGACAACATGCACTTGCTCCATGACAACATGCATGCACTTGCTCCATGACAACATGCATGCACATGTCCCATGACAACATGCACTTGCTCCATGACAACATGTTCCATGGCAACATGCATGCACATGTCCCATGACAACATGCACTTGCTCCATGACAACATTCATGCACATGTTCCATGGCAACATGCACATGTCCCATGACTGATGGACACCAAAGCTAAACATGCCATGCTAATGACAATTCCAGATGTAATGAGGCAAGGCCACAGGCTGTGGATGCACGGCAGATTGGTCTTTGTTTGGTCCATCTTGTCCACTTGCAAGTGCCTTGGGTGATTCAATCACCAGAGACAGAAAGAACGTTGACTAGAAAGGCTTGAGTTTTGTTTCTTGGGCCTGAACTTCAATTCGAGCTACCACTCGGCATTGTCTGACCGACGTGCCTGCTCCATGAGACGTTCGTCAGCCAAGCGCTGGCTTGCTTGGAAAGCATAATGCCTCCCAAGACGAAGCTTCAGAGCATCAAGCACTTCAGAATGCTGCCTAGATGTGGATGCAATCATGCCCTGCAGGAACTTGCACACTTGGCAGGCCACAAACATACTGGTGCGTGAGGCAATGACAACATGGAAGCATTCCTGGGGCAGGGAGATCATGAGGGGAACATGAAACATTGGTGCCACAGCATGTGAAGTATCCATGACCAGGTACACAAAAAGACATGGACAGCATGTGGAGCAAGAGGGGGCCAACAAGAACTGAGGTTCACATCGCCATGCTTGGAGAAATGTTTGTTGGGAAGCATACTCCCCATCCAAATGGCTCAGCACTTCCTGAGAGCGCTCCCAACAGTACATGTGGTAGTAGTCAGACTTCCGTCCAAACGGCAACACCATTTGGCCGGTCATGGGATTTGCTTCCGCATACTTCTCCGCGTGGACTTCGAGCCATGACCGAGCATCCAAGTAGCGAGGAGCTTTGGCAGAATTGCGAATGGTGGCCCACATGCCCAACTCTTTCTTTGTCAAAGCAGTGACTGCATTCGAACGAGCAGCATCCCTGGCTTGTTGAATCGTGCCAGTTGGGATCCCAGTCAGGATTTGAAAGGCACGCTGACACACAGTCACTCCCAGGAAGGTGAAACCATTGTTCTCCTGCACATGTTTGCAAAAAACCCTTCCACTGGTCAAGTGCTACAAGGGAACAGCGCCATTAAGAGGCCAGTTTTCAGGATTCGATTCAAGAGTTTAAAAGAAAAATGATGTTCCTCCAAAATTGAGAACGAAGCTCTGGTGAGTCTTCCTTAATGATATCAAACACTGAAAGCCAGTCGTTTGGCTTTTCATGATATCAAGGTAACCCTGTGATTGGATATCAATGCAAAATCAGAGAGCAGATGAGATCAGACAAGTCTCTCGCATCAGTCTGTACAGGAATTCCAGGCGTTGTGTTCTGGGTAGCGACGCCCAAAGCACTCTGAAATTTTTGACGAGTGCCGGACATGATCGCATCATGTTCAAGCATTCATGCTTAACTTGGCCAGTGTGACATGGCATCTCCAACTCTTTGGAGATAATGGGGAGGGATATGTACTGACTCGCTTTGATGACAGATCGAGCGTAGCCAGAACGAGTCATGTGAGCGATGGCAGGAAACTTCCTGGAGCTCTTGGTCAGCAGGTAGTTACAAGACCGCAGAGCAGCCTCTGCTTTCTGGTAGCGCTTCTCCCGGCTCAACTCCTGGGTTCATGTAGATTACTGGACTCATGCTGTGCATGACATGGTCACACCTACTGTCTCTTATAATGAAAGGCTCCTCATAAGCATGCTGCTCACGTGTCAGCTGGTAGAATGCAAACTGCCGGGCGTTAAACATGGCAGCTCCAGGATCCAAAGGGCCCAGGCTTGAGATCTTCTCGAAGTTCTCGATCAAAGTTGCCGTTGGTACTGCCCAAGGGTCCCATTCCTGCAGGCATTGAATTAAAGTTAACTGGTTTGACACAGAGTCTTCATTCCAGATCTCTGCAATGCGGTCAGTGCATGGATACTCTGCGACGTCTTGATCTGGTCCCTCTTGGTCGTCTTCGCAGGAAGGATCCCGCTCCAATCCCCAGAAATGGTAGTCGTTGCTCAAAGCAACCATGATCATCCTCAGGCTATCCAGGAGACATGTAATAATAGTGAGATGGCTGGACTTAGAATCATGACATGCATGCTGTACTAGGCTTGACATGGCTTGACATGGCTTCATGGATAGACATGTCTGACTTCAAAATTTAACAGATCTGGCGTTATTAAAGACCTGACAATCATGGCTTGACATGGTTTCACATGATTCCATGGCTTGACATTCATGACGTCATGCTCACAAAAAAATATGACAGGCATATGAGATGACTTGACATGTTGACAGCTAAGCGATTGATGCAGAGCGACTCAGCATCCTCAAGGCCACAACAGGAAGCTCCAACAAAAGCAGGGTCGGGCTGGCCATGGATCAAAACACAAATGTCAATGCCAAAAGCGCAGCCAAGACAATGAAGCATGGCTGTGTCTCCCCAAGTCCCACCCTGTCGCATTCTCTCCAGCCACCTGGCAGGACGAGACAGGGGATACGTATCTAGCCCTAACAGTCCATGTATGTTTACAAACAGTCGATACAGTGGCACCAGCTTTTAAACCCCTCACCTGGCATATGATTCCCCTGACACAGTCCTTGCTAGGTCACCCACTGTGAAGTTGTCCCACAGAGGTTTGTTGGCATTTGCCTCTGCCCAGTCACAAGCTATCTTGCGGATGATTCGGTTCTTGTTCCTTTCCTTCTTGACTAGGGACCATGGCTGTCGTCGAAATGACCTGGGAAAACATAAAACAGACCAGACTAGTTAGGAAGTCAGTAGTCCTGTCAATGTTAGAATTCAATACTCTGACGACTTATTTCATGAGTCTTCCAAGGTCCTGGCTCTATGAATTTGGACGCAGAAATTGCAAAAGCACCAAAAAGACAGTCACCATTGGAAACCGTGTCTTTCACATACATGTCATTCAGGTCCGCAAGTTCCATGAGGTCATGCGGGCAAGAGATTCCTCCACGACCTTGCCCTTGAGGATGGTCTGGACGCTGATACGTCTCAACCCATGTTGGCGTAATCAATGGCCGGTTGGCCATCTTTTGGAAGTGATGTATTTTATCACATGATCTGCATGTACTATGAATTTGTGGGTAGGGTTTATCCCATGGAGAAAATAAATGTTGTCAGTGTAGTTCCCCACCATGGTGTATCACATCATATCTTGGGTCCTGTGCCATGTGCTGAAGCATCAGCCGAAGGAAAGCGCCCAATCAGTTTCAAAAACCGTGATCATGGGGCATGACACCATGACACCATGACACATCTCAACCCATGCATGGCACGTCATACATGCCAACACATGTCAAAGCATGCCAGCACATGTTACTGCATGCCAACACCATGACACATCTCAACCCATGCATGGCACGTCATACATGCCAACTCATGTCAAAGCATGCCAGCAAATGTCACTTCATGCCAACACATGTCACCTCATGCCAAATCATGGACATGTCACAACCCATGGATGGCACATCATGAAACATGAGACAAGAGACAAACATGGCAAAACTACAGCAAGACTATTTTTGCTCACGTCTTGCCATTTCACCAATCTCTTTCCTATTGATGCTAGATCCGTCAACTACTGACAGGAAAGCCACACATTGAGCCAAAACTAAGGTCCTCACTGGACTCTATCATGACTGGGCCACCTTGCCAAAGGCTTCCAGCAAGCCGGTCGGCTTGACAGGAGGAGAAGGCCCACCACCATTGCTACCAGCTGATTTCGGCACTGCAGGTGTGCTCGGTGATGGAGACGGGTTCGGGGTCTGCGGCGTGTTCATCACTGCCTTCGGCTGCGGGCTGTTCTTCGGGATGGGTGCTGGCGCTGGCTTGTTCTGCTTCTCATACTGCACCAGGCTGTCTGGCTTCACCAATTGGGTAATTGGCACCAGGCGCTTCTGCCGAGTCCATCCAATCAGATTCTCCATCATCCATTTGCAGTGTGCTGCAGTGCGGGCAACCCCGATTCCCCTGCCATTGGAGAGGAGCACTCCGAGGAGCTTTGCACCAGAGCCTGGGGTCATGTCGATCAAAGTGACACTGCCCGGGCCGCCGAAGACCGCCAAGAACTCCTGCGTCAAAGTCCAATGGTGTTCATGCGGAAAGGCAACCACGTTCTTGTCATTCATGTTCAAGTCCATTGCATCGTTTGACCCATGGCAGTCTTCGGAGTCGTCCCGGTCCGGGGTCATATCATTCTCCTCACACATGTGTCAACATAATGTTATCACCATGACATACCATGACGATGCATGACCATGCATGACCATGCATGACAAGACAATTAAAGAGTTGCACAGGTCTGTTGGAGCTTTAGCTGGATGTTTTTTTAAATATCTTGACTTGTTTACCACCAACTTAAGTGCCAACGAAAGTCATAGAGCTTTTCATAGGCCAGTTCGTCCATTTGCTTGAGATCCGAAACAGGGATCAATCTCACTGGCCACTTGGTGAAATAGGTGTCCCCTCCCTCAAGAAACTGCATGGCACCACAGTGCGCGCTGGAGATGGCAGACACTGAGCAAGCAACGAAACGATCCTCAATCTTGCTCCCAAATGCCCTCCTCCCACGCTTGAACCTTTGGAGGGAGTCAGTGGCATTCGGTTCGATGGTGGCCACTGTCAAGGCATGCTTCTTGGCACCCGTCAGTTTGCCAAGCTCATTTTTCACGACGTCCAGGGCCGACTTGGATTTCAGCGTGTCGACCTCATATTAATATTATATGTCACCATTGCCATGCCATAGTGTCATGTGAGGCCAGGCCATGGACATGTGTATCCTCATGTCATGTTCATGACACAATAATCAGCCTGCTTCCCTTACATGCCATTCATGCAGGCCAACCTTGCATGTCATGATCAACAAGGACTTGTCCTGCAACTCCGCGTCACGCTCAGCACGATGAATCTCCTGCCACCAAGACGTTTGAAAATGGCACCATGTCTGTATTTACGTTGGGTTCACAGTACGCGTGCCATGTTTGGAGTGATGTCATGTTCACATGGAATGCCATGCCATGATATGCCACGTGATGTTATGTTCACATGGAATGCCATGCCATGATATGCCACGTGATGTCATGTTCACATGGAATGCCATGCCATGATATGCCACGTAATTTCATGTTCATATGGAATGCCATGCCATGATATACCACGTGATGTCATGTTCACATGGAATGCCATGCCATGATATGCCACGTGATGTCATGTTCACATGGAATGCCATGCCATGATATGCCACGTAATGTCATGTTCACATGGAATGCCATGCCATGATATGCCACGTAATTTCATGTTCACATGGAATGCCATGCCATGATATGCCACGTGATGTCATGTTCACATGGAATGCCATGCCATGATATGCCACGTAATGTCATGTTCAATGTTCACATGGAATGCCATGCCATGATATGCCACGTGATTTCATGTTCACATGGAATGCCATGCCATGATATACCACGTGATGTCATGTTAACATGGAATGCCAGCCATGCCATGATATATGCCTTGCCAACTTCAAATCGTAAAATTGTTGCCATGTCATGGATATGGCATGGCTTTCCAAGTCCCAAGTGAAACCCATCCTGCCTCATAAATGTTCACTGCACGTTCAACCCGGGTCTTGGAGACTCCAGGACCAGTTCCCCCAAATGGGTTCAACCTGCGTGCCTTGATCTGCTGCCATGCCACAGGGCCATCAAGCCTTAATTTGTGGTCTGTGGATGCCTGACGCATGGAATAATGCCATGCATGTCTACCATGATTCATGTCAAACATGTCAAGCATGAGACCCAAAAAATCATGATAAACACATGACGGGGAAAAAAATGGGTCATGTCTGACATGACCGAAAAGCTCTGTAGAGTAGATGCACATCTTTCTCTTGCTCTCCTTTGCCAGGCCCTGCTTTGCGATTTTGCTTGGCAAGTCGTCGGTCAGGTCGTCGATGACAAAGGCGATCCTGGACATGATGTACTCCTTGATTTGCTGGGTTTCGTTTTCCGCAGAGGCCTTGAGGTACTTGTCCAACTCGATCTCATAGTCTGCCTTGTCCTGCACCGTCGATTTGATCACCTCCATGCCGTCAGCATGTGTGATGCGAGCTTCATGGGCATTCTCCTTGGGGGCGGGGAAGTCCAAGGCATACTTCGCGGAGATGTCACTGATGATGCTCTTCATGTTGTCATCCTGGGACCCAAGGTTCAATGATTTCCCTGCAATCGAATCCCCTGACAGCTTGCACAGCGCGATATCATAGGTCCCCCTCATCATTCTCTCCACGAAGGTGACCAAGGGTTTCAGGGACATAAAGCTACTGGCCTGTGTTTGCTGGTCCTGCTCATTCTCCTCTTCATCTTGCTCTTCAACTCTTTGGCCATCCTTTTCCCCGAGACTGTTCAGACCGAAGGTTCGTGTGTACCATGCCAACGTTCCGTGGTCATGCATGTAGCTAGCCATGTTGGGAAACTGGTTACGCAAATGCACCATGTAGTCCCTGCGAACGAGAATGGCCTTCAGAACTTTGGTCACGTCAAACCGAATCGTGCCAGTGCGCACGGGGCCCAACGCTTTTCTGATACCAGAAGCTTTCCTGTAGCACGTCCCAATTTCAACCCATAGAATCCCATAGAAACCCATTTGTCAAAAGCTTAAGTTTTGGGGGAATGCATGCCAAAATTCTCCATCATCAGGGTCTCGATGACAAAGACCATGTCATCGGAGTTGAGGCCCAGTGAGAACAGGGAGCGGAGGTTGGTGATTCCGTCAAGGGGACCATCACGCCCAAAGCGGTGGGACATGGTGTTCAATGCCTCCATGACAGCTGGAAGCTCCTTCAGCTTTCTGCCCATGTTGGTGTAGCGCTGGCAAGTGCTGAGGTTCCTAAAGCACCAGTCAGAATGCAACCTCCCAAAACCATGACAGTTAGTATGTCAACATGAGAGCATGTCAGTATGATGACATGGCATCATGTCAACATGGAGTCATGGCCACATGGCATCATGTCAATGGAGTCATGGCCACGTTAAGGCATGTAACATGGAGTCATGGCCACATGGCATCATGTCAATGGAGTCATGGCCACGTTAAGGCATGTAACATGGAGTCATGGCCACATGGCATCATGTCAATGGTCAGTCATGTCATGGCCACGTTATGTCGACATGGAGTCATGGCCACATGGCATCATGTCAACATGGAATCATAACAACAACTGGTTGCATGGCAACATGGAAACATGGCAACCTGTAACCTGATCAACCATGTCATGGCATGCAATCAGTGACAAATCCATGTCAATCATGTCATGACATGTGAATGGGAAGGCCAGGGTGCCATCCCCGCATGTAGTTCCCTTTGCTCAACAAGGCCTCGATCGCCTTGTCCTCCGACAGGGCCATTTCGGTCATTGCGCCATCCACCATCTTCGCTAGGACAAGGCACTTGTCGGCCGCCCCGAGTCCAATGACTTGCCGGTCCCGTTCTTCCTCTTCGACCAGACCTACTAGTAGGTTAGGTAACTAGGAGCTAAGGTGAGAAACTAGCATGAACCCTGATACCAATAAGTGTTGGAAAACTAATTCAGCCGTGGTGCCGAACTTTGCTAAGTCGAACTGCGAGCCCACGCCGTAGCTGTAGAATTCCAACACGATGTCTGCAAGCTCTCTTTTCAACCAGTGGCAAATGTCACTGTTGTTCCTGAACCAATAGGCTATCAGAAGCGCAGCTGCCAACTCGGAATCGCCGTTGAGCCGCTGCAGGTCTTTGATCGTGCCAGTGTCTGAAGCCCACAGATCCGAATTCACCTTCAAGGTGGGAATGATGTGGCCCAAGTTCCCTGGAACACCGTCCCACTTCATCAAGACAGTCTCGATCCGGCGAGTCTGCCATACGCCCACTGCCCTTTCCTTATCAAGTTATGTCCATGGTAGGGAGCCTGTGATAAACAAAAGTCATCAAAAGTCAACATGTGGTACCATAAACCCATATGCGGGGCATGTTGCAAGTCATGGGCATGTTGGACATGTCATGGTCAAACTCCCATGTGTCATCAGCATGTTGGACATGTCATGGTCGAACTCCCATGTGGCATCAGCATGTTGGACATGTCATGGTCGAACTCCCATGCGAAACATGATGGCATGTCATCAGCATGTTGGACATGTCATGGTCACATTCCTATTTAAACATGACAATTCATGAGCATATTGAACATGTCATTGGCAAACTCCCATGTGACACACTTGCAAGGCATGAGCTGGTTAAACTGTTGGTGAATCTCACAAGTGACATGTTGTGGGACATGCTCGGATTTTTCATTTTCAAGCTGACTTCCAGCAATTTCAAAAAATATTTACTGACAGAATAACAATTTTTGACCAGTGTCACCGAGGGCCAGCATTGCACAAGACCCCCCAGTCTGAACTCGTGTCTTCTTCGAGACCAAGTCCTTGAGTTCATCCACTGGTCGGACTGGGCACTTTGACCCCAAGGGCTCTCCAAGCCTTCCCTCATCTGAAGCTGTCCATGCCTAAAGCAAAACAGGGCCATGTCATGACGTCATGAAATTAGATTTCCGTAACTCATGTTCATGAGCGAACCTATACGTTCTATCACCATGAAGTCACATGCATGTCTCATCTTCAAAGACCACCCCATGACAAACATGACATTCATGCATGGCTCCAAGATAAATATGTCAGGGTGCGAGGACTTTCTCCATGTAGGAGTCAAACCCCTCAGTCATGGCTTCCACCAAATGTGCTTTCAAGTCCACATCGGTCTTCGTGGATTTCGCCATCTTTCGTGCTTCTGCCTGTTGCCTTTGGGCTGCAACAACGGACGCATCAGCCATAGCCCTGAGTCAGACGAGGTCAGCAGGTCAGAATCCTGAAATCGAATTGAAATTTTGAGCCTTACAAGCTGCATCAGTGATGCCAGCGTGCAAGCCAAGTGACAAAACGTCACTTGGCTCGTACGCCCGTACCTGGGTACGGGCGTACATGCGGGGGGGGTTGGTATGTGACAGGTATGGGTTTTAGAGGGGCGTCACATAGAAAAATGCCCGCTTGCACACTCGTACCTGGGTACGGGCGTACAAGCCAAGTGACAAAACGTCACTTGGCTTGCACGCCAAAATCAATGAGGTATGTTGCACAGCAAAAAGTTGACCATCGCGTCTCGTACCTGGGTACGGCCGTACAAAGCCTGTGACAAATCCTAAGTTGACCATCGCGTCTCGTACCTGGGTACGGCCGTACAAAGCCTGTGACAAATCCTAGGTTGACCATCGCGTCTCGTACCTGGGTACGGCCGTACAAAGCCTGTGACAAGTCCAAATTTGACCATCGCGTCTCGTACCTGGGTACGGCCGTACAAAGCCTGTGACAAATCCTAAGTTGACCATCGCGTCTCGTACCTGGGTACGGCCGTACAAAGCCTGTGACAAATCCTAAGTTGACCATCGCGTCCCGTACCTGGGTACGGCCGTACAAAGCCTGTGACAAATCCTAAGTTGACCATCGCGTCTCGTACCTGGGTACGGCCGTACAAAGCCTGTGACAAATCCTAAGTTGACCATCGCGTCTCGTACCTGGGTACGGCCGTACAAAGCCTGTGACAAATCCTAAGTTGACCATCGCGTCTCGTACCTGGGTACGGCCGTACGAAGCCTGTGACAAATCCTAAGTTGACCATCGCGTCTCGTACCTGGGTACGGCCGTACAAAGCCTGTGACAAATCCTAAGTTGACCATCGCGTCT